ACTGGGGATGTATTTGTTCTGCCAAGCTTTTCAACTCAGTTTAATTTAGCTCTGTGAACTTGCCGTGTCTCAGGCTCCCTGGAATGTGTCAGGTGGGGTGTATTATAAATATGCATCATCTGATCTCAGCGTCTTGCTCAAAGGTTTAGCAGCAGAAAGAGTCCAGCAAGTGCTAACCCCTTTCCACTGGAGCAGGGTGACAATCCAGGCCACAGACAGGCTTACTTTGAGCTGGCATTGTACCAGGACAGGCTGCTTTATATCTGCAAGCCGTATATGCCTGTGAACAGGGATGCAGTTGAGTACCAAGGTAACATTAACTCCAGCAAGGCTGGCAGTGAGAAGAGCTTCAAAGCTGCCAGCATAAAGAAAAGGATCACGATTCCTTCCTATTGATTTGCAACTTGTCTGCGAGCGAGGCAGCGTGTTGCTGAGTGCCTTGGCCAGCCAGCCTTGAAATAGATGGGGATTTGTTTTGTGTGGGGAGGTGATAAACAGAAAGGGAACCCTGCTTTGCAATTGGATACAGATGCAGGCAGATCTTTGAGCAAATGTCCTATCAGAAGAGGTGTATGTTGTCATGCTGGGTTTCTGCGAAGCATTGAGGGATCAGGTTGAAGTTAGGAGGAGGCAAAGACAGAAGAGTGTGCAGCTCCATTTGAGCAAAGTGGTGCTCAAATAAACCACAGAGCTCAAAGAGCTGCAGTGAGCTGGGCCCAGGGACTGACTCGGCTTCCAGATTTACCTGGGAGATGCAGGTTAATGCATCAGCAATTAGATGGGGCTTAGGCTCTCCCTGGGGCAGCTGACTACACGGCAGACAGGATAGAAAGAAGACATTAAAGGTGTGAAACCCAAACTGCAGCAATCACAGAACTGTCTGGCCAATCCCAGCTTTACATAAAGTCAATCCCATACAGGCACAGGCCCTTGGTGGGGGTGTAATGTATCCCGCTCACATGCTTTGATCCCAGCAACAGCCAGGCTGCTTCATGATGCAAATGTCCCAGCCAGACAAGTAGCTGTAAGGAAAGACACCTTACTTTCAAAAGAGTGACAGACCCTCCTCTGTCTCTTCTTTCCTTTCCCTTTTAGAAAGTCCTTCACATCACCCTCCACCAAGAGCAACTGAGTCGTTCCCTCCGCTCTGGAATACCCTCCTCTGGAAGCTTTCCAGTTTATCCATCTTTGCCTCACTTCACGTTCCCTTTGGGAACATCTCTCTTGCTCTCCTGCAAGCTGGTTCTCCAGAGCTTTCATTGTTCCTCTATTATTATTTACTACTGCGCTCTGCAGCTGCACTATTTCACCCCATGGGCATAGCACGTGTGGACAGCTCTGTCCCTTTGTCTCTGTGCTTTGAAACACTACCATGGCTGCGTGCAGTAAATGTGAGCCACGGCTCTGTCCATACAGACAGAGCCCTGTGGCTGTTTGGACAAGGCTTTTTCCACAGCTATGAAGCTATGCCTCAGTTAAGCGCTGTGGTTGTGGCCAGTGCATCTCTCCAGGATGGACATTCTTGTCTAGTGGACATTCTTCACTTGTTTGGGAAATGGGAACAACAGACAGCATTGAACTTCTGGGTGTGATTTAACTGAGCACGGGGAGTGAGGAATTGCAGTATCAGCACCTCACACCGTGTTTTAATTGACCTAGCTGGTAGGAAGGTCTTCATCTGTTACCAGTTGCTTTTGGAAACCCGGACACACGCACAAACACCCCATTGGGTGAGTGGGCAGGATGCTTTACGGATAGACAACCGCTTTTCTTCCTTTCTTGTGTCTTCTATCTCCAGAATAGCCATGGGAGAACAAAGTAACGAAGGAAACCGCTCTGAAAGAGGCTGGGGGGGGGAGTGTCCTTCTTTTCTCCTTAATTGTAACACTGTGAATTAATTCAGTTTCCAGCAGGAGTGAGAAGTTCCCAGCAGCCCTTAGGCATCCAGATAAGGCTGAGCTCTTCATTCAACCCCTTTGGGTTCTCTGGTACCAAGCTCACTGCCAACTGCTTCTCACTAACTTTTTGGAGAGTTTAAATTATCCAAGCGTGACACAGAGCAAGGGGTTTTGCATTCTTAATTGCCAAAGCCTTTTCCCACTCCAGTCTGGAGGCCCCTGAGCTGCCCTGCCAATTTATTCTGATCCTGATTCGCAAGCCTTGCAAACACCTTCCCAGGGCTGCACGAAAGCCCTGTCAGTGTAACTGAACCCTCATCTCCCCGTTCTTAGCTTCTCCTGAGGCGTCCTCCTGCTTCACTTACAGCATCCTTTCTTGCAGCCCCCTTGCCCTCCAGACAAGCCCTGTTGGTGCCTCTGGCTTTACCTGTTAAGGAGGCAGTGCCCACAGAGGAAGGAAGGGCATAGGCTGGGTTGCAGGTGATATGCTAGCCATAGCTCTTCCCCAGGAAGGGGAGGTTGAGGAAATAGGCAGGGATGCTGATGGAAGAAGGTTTAAAACAGGAAAAAAACCCAAAGCAAAAAGGGGGGAGAGAGGGGAGAGGCAGCAGAAAGGAAGGTCTCTCTCTACCTTTTCCATTTCTTTTCCCCTCTTCTGCACTTTCATGATCTCTCATTTATCTCCCTCATCTCTTGGTGTTTCCTCCTATTGACAGCAATGATCCCATTGCCTTTCACAGCTTCCTAGCTGGATTCCTGTGAAGATGCCGCCACCACTTCTGCAGGCGGGCTCAGCCTGTCCTCAGGAAGGAGACCTGCATGTGTAGGGCAGGGCTTGTTGCTGTAGGACTGTGTCATTGTTTGGTATTTGCCATTCTGTGGAAGCAACAGAGCCCCATCTGAGGCAGCTGTAATGGGTACCTACACCAGAACGTTCATACCTTGGCTTGGCAAGAAGGACAAGGTGTTAGACACCCCAAAGCATTCACAGTGCTCCTTTGTCCTTTCCGTCTCCTCATCCCCTTACTTTCTTTACCCAGTGCCCTCTATTTCTCTTCTGCAAACTGATGGCTGCATTTTCCCCTCTTTAGATTTTCCTAGCCCTTTTCCACTAGTGCACAGCCCTGTTCAAGTTCCTGGAGGTTCATTTTGGCTTTATTTACTTCCCTTTCCCTCTTCTTCCTTCCATCCCTTTCCCCCACACACATATACACACTGCTGATTTACAGCTGTAGCAGGAGGCTGATGTTCTCTGCTCACTACCTGCCATCCAGAGAGCCATTAGAGGCCAATTCATCATGGAAATGCCCCAGCCAAAGTGACTGGAAGATTCTTTACCGTCGCTGTCCCTGGGGTTTGGATTGCAACACGTCAGCCTGAGCATGGCTGTAAGTGAGCTGTCTCAAGGCAGAAATATGATTTACAAGATAACGTGGCCTATGGAGAAAGGAAGAGGAAGCAAAGTGACTGCCACTGCTGAGGACGGTGGGGAGCGGAGCCTCACATGCTGATGACTACAGCATCACTTGAAGACACACAGCTCTAAGCTCTTAATTAATGAACAGGGAAGGTGTGGGATGCTGACTGATGGAGGCAAGAGAAAACCAGGTTTGCATGGAAAGGGGTGTGAGGGATCTGTGTCAAGACACTTCCCAGGGAAAATGCTCTCAGCATGGTGCTGGGAGTTCAAGTGTTTTGTACCGATGCAGTAAACATGCCAGTTCTCTGCTGTGCAATTTGTCAGTATTGACCAGAGAAGGGTTTTTCCCTGGGAAAGGTTTAAGCATCTCAGTTCACTTCTGGATGACAGGAGTGAATCTGAAAGGTGAAGAGGTGAGATGTGGGAACAGGCTTTTAGCAGCACGGCTCTGCAATTGCACCTGGTGTAAGTGATTTCAGGGAGCCCAGCCTTCAAGCTAAGCAAGTGATGAATCCATGGATATGAGGTGGGAGTGCATGGCAGATTTTCACCCTGAAATGGCCTGTGTAAGTTGTCCTGTGTGATTTGGGAACGTGTGCGGATGTTTTATAACCATGCACACGTGTAAGATGTGCCTAATTTTGAGACCTTAGGTTTAGTGGACATACAGGCTACCACTATGATACCCAAAGCCAACTGCTGCGGAACGAGGTCAGTATAGTCCAGTATTCAGCCTCTAACAGCAGCCAGGGCATTAAGTACGAGAATTAGACGTGACAGACAAGTTCTATGAAACACCTTGCTCCCTCATCTCTGTCTCGCTCCCCTCCCCTGAATTCCTTTTCCTTCTCCTCCTCCTCCTTCTTCCTCCATTCCAATTATCTCCTTCTTTCATCACTGCCGGAGCTGTAAGTACAAAGTACCAATTAGCTAGTTTTCAAGTTTAATTAGGTTGGAAGGTAGAGCAAATTAAATCCTTTTATCGTATGTTTCAAAGCGCTTTCCTGTCAGGCCCATGGGATAGATTTCCTTTGAATGAGGTCCATGTTAGCCACTGAGGAGCTGGCCCAAGTCACCGAGCTCTCTGGCCATGAGGCAAAGAGGAAATGAAATGCAAGATGTGATACATCATCCCCTCGCCCCTCAATCCTCCATGCAGGACTTCTTTCTGGTATGGTTTAGGGGTGTACATAGCTCTACTCCACATTGACAAACTGAGCTTCGGTCCTCAGGTCTTCTAAGGTCTACTTTAATAGCAAAGCTCTCCTTCATTTCAGCAGTGCCAGGACTTCACTGAAGACACTGTGATAAGGTCCTGCAGAAGGCTTTCAAGATAGTTATTGATACTATTGTCTCAAGCAGCACATCCATATGAGTCCCACTGCACCATATGGGGGGTCATCTTGGAAGCACCTTTAGTCCCTAAGCCCTTCTTTCTTTGAGGACAGAACAAAAGCAGAACAGCAGGCCCAGGAATAACCACCTAATTCAAGGGGGGATTGCAGAATGGAATAAGGAAGCGGTTAGCACTTGGAAACACATGGGCTGCAATTGCAGCTACAGAGTTCTGTGCCTTTTGAGCTCTGAAAACTACGTTTCAGCATGACCTTTGCTCTTAGCGCCTTACCCTTGTGTTGTCTGGTACCCTGACCCTCTTTCCTGTGCTTCCCTGTGTGTTGCAGATAAGCCACTACCTCAGGGTGCCCCAGGAGGCATTATTGGGATCGTGGGAGGTGTCATCGCAGCAGTCCTCATCATTGGCGTGGCTGTCACCGTAATTATTGTCTACAGGAGGCAACAAAAGGACCGCACTGAAACAGACAACGACCTGTAAGTAGCCCCGCGCTTGAAGTAGAGGATGGATGGGGCTACAGAGAGCACCACGGGTCCTTCACTACCTGCACAGAGAAAAGCTGGTCAGCAAACTGGCTTTCCTGTCTGCCACCCCCTGGCTCACTCCTTTGACCCAGAGAGGGGTCTCTGATAGAGCCTGAGCACCTTGGATATCCCAAGGAATCCAGTCACAGGCGCTCCACGTTCCAGCTTTGTTCATGAGGTGCCAGCCTGAAGACCTGAACTCTGGCAATACAAGGGCAGGGCAAGGGGATGCCCCGGGGGCTCCTCTTTGACAGGTACTTGCTTTGCTCTGCCCTAGGCTGTGCAGCACGGATCCCAGGCAGGGAATTCGGTGGTGTGGACTTCAGGCTATGCAGCAGGAACAGAGCCCTCTTCAGAACTGTTTATCCTGGCCTCTTCCTGAAAAGCTCTATCTTGTAACTGCCTTTTCACAAGAGCACCCACTCCCTTCCTCCCCACTTCATAGGGGAGGCACGGAAAGCCCAAAGGCCAGAAGTTGCTTTTATCTTCCACAACACCCGTCCTCATTGTTGATACATCTTGGCCACATTTTGTGCTCCATTTAGTCCCGTTTGAGAGAGGGCATTGGAGGATAAGTGGAGATGGGGGGGGGGGAGAGAACAGGGAAAGCAGGAGGAGGAACAGAAAGGCACACAAACAAAACTACAGCACCACAAGGTGAAATTGCATCAACAGCATCAGTGCTACGCTAGAGATGCATTCAGACAATCCACTTCCCACAATGGCCCTCCACACAGGCACAGTGAAGAGCCACTTTAGCTGAGAATAGAAACACAATGGTGCCCTAGTCTGCAGAGGTGCTGCCCCTATTGCCGTCTGCTCCAAAGCCTCCAAAAGGTAACAGCATTTCTTTCCTTTAAAGCCATCACGCCAATGCTTTGCAGAGCCTTGGGGACCCATTTTACCTTCCCACTCACCCCTACGCTCCGATCCCAAGCTAGAATCCATTGGGTTGCCAAGGAAAGTCACCCATCTCTGTCAGAAGATGTGGTGAAGATTGTACAGAGAGAAGGGAGGGGGAGGCAGCCAATTAGTGGATCAGGTTTAATAAGTTTTGTAAAGGGATTAGGCACATCCATGCATGTGATCAGAATGCGCAGAGGCAGTCTCTAGGCTGGGATTATAATAGGCTGCCAATCCTTATGCTCTGGGGCAAAAGTTGATCCCCTGGCTGGGGTCAGGGATGAATACGCCTGCGTGGCATAGCACGTCTACAAGGAAGACTCAAAGCCCTACTGGGAAGCCTGTGGCAGGGGTTGCCAGTGCAGGCAAGCTCCGGAACTGGGGGATGACATTACCCTGTTGATTTGCAGACACTGCCAGACACTTCCTGGTACCCTACAGCTATACATTGAATGAGCCTCCTCCCATGGGATGGTTTGGAGCCATCCCAAAGCAGTGCTGGGAGACAGGTAGCCCAGCTGCAGCTCAGGATCTGCAATCCGACATGGGGATTTGCTTGGAGTTAGGAACAGAATGCTGATTTCTATTAACACTTCTAATTGGGGTGAGAAGGAGGGCACAGAGGGGTTACAGAGAATAATGTATATGGTTATATTGGCAGTTTGGTGCCAAACACAACCCACTCTTTGGCGCATGCAGGATGCGGCTTGTCACGTACACCAAAGCAAGCAGACCCCTTTCCTCTCTAACCACTTCTTTACCTGCAGAATCGACTTGCCTCCATCCCACAAACCTGCCCCTCCACCAAAGAGGAAACAGGAGATGAAAAGCCACCTGACTGCAGAAGACATCCAGGTATGGCTCCCTAACCCAGCTGCAAGCTCCTTCCTCTGGCAAGGAAAACCGACTTCAAGCAGTGTCCGCAGTGGGAACACTGGGTTTGCAAGAGGAAAATCGCCCATGGCCTAAGTTTGAGGGTCAGAAAGTGAGGACTTGTCTGCCCGGAACTCCCAATGTTTGGCACTATTTGAAAGCTATAATTGGGATCCTGCTTACTTTAGTGGGGATTGAGTTTTAAATGCGGTGGTGTTCAGATGAGAGCACTTCCGAGCATGTCCACCATTCTGAATGTCATGGGTGGCAGTGAGGGGTATGGGAATGAAAGAAAGAGAATGGGAGGCAAATCATATGGTTGGAGGAAGGGAGAAGGTAAGATGCACTGCCTTCCATGGTGAAACCTGGTGGTGGTGCAGATGTGGCCCTGAGCTATGACAGAAGAACAGTGCTTGCTCTTCTCATCCCTCTTCTCTCTCGTCTGTTATAGGTTGTTCACTTAGACAACATGAAACACGAGGAGGAAATCCAGAAACTCCCTCTGCAGGCTCCATACTACGACATGGCAGCCACCGAGCCCTCTCCCTACACTGACAAACTGGTAAGGAGATCAGGGAGCTAATAGTGCTGCCTGGCCCCATCCTCACTGCCTTTCACCCCAAACAGCAAAAGAGCCCCACCACCCACGGGTGTGAACAAACAGCCTTCCCAATATAGGAGTATCCTCTCCTGGAGCAAGGCAACCTCCACACTCCGATCTGAGCCCACCTCTCAAATACCACTGATGCTAATTCAGCACTTGCCCCCTTTGCTGTTGGTTTCTATAGGTCCTAGAGCTGCGCCTTATGGGTCAATCCTCTATAAAATACCCTGTAATTATCCACGGGACTGAGCATGCCCGTGTTTGACTCTCAACTGACAACCAGCTCTTTAAACCCCCTTTGTGTGGATTTGCTCAGCCCCAGATAGGGAGATGCTAATGTGAGGCAGCAGCAGCAGAGGGATACTAGCAGCCATGCAGGAAATGCTGGTTTTCAATGACTGATGCTGAAGGAGGAAATAGTAGATTCAAAGGGCAAAGTCAAGGGAAGCAGAAGACAGGCAGAGTGAGAATCCTCCCCAAGGAGAAAACAGAAAACCTTCCTCCTCCAAGACCTTGGACAATATCCTTTCCCTCCCTCATCCCATGGCATGGGGCTGCTCCCCTCATCCTTCATGGGAGACATGGGGTCCCCATGTTGATGCTGCAGGTCTCTCTCAAATTCTTCCTCCAGGAGGGCTTATTCACAGTGCTCCACACCAAGAGTGGTGCTTCTCGGTCTCAGCAACGTGAATCCATTTGCCTGAGAATATCAAGTATAAATATCAGCCCATAGCGGAGTAATATTTTATGAACCTAATTATAAACCCTCCCTCCAGTTCATCCTGGTGTGACCCTTTAATGCATATTCCTGTGCAGGTAATAGAAGGACAGGGCCCAGTGACCTTTAGCTAGAAGAGGTCTGCAGCAAGGCAGATCCTGAGGGTACTGGAAATAAAAAGGCACAGCTCTATACTGAGCTGTGTTGATGTGATCCTATTTACTTCACTCTAGCTGAACCTGACTGATGTCCCTAAAGAAAAGCTTCCCTTTGGAGTCCTCCCTCAGTCCCGGGGCTTGTCTCTAGCTCTTTCTAATCCTTGCTGAGTGGTAGCTGAGCTTTAAATGAGGTACAGGATGCTAGACTGAGATGGACGGCTTTGTGGGGAGCATCTGAGAGCCAAAATTCAGGCAAGCAGGAGGATGGAGGAGCTCATTTCAGGAAATAACGAGCAGTCAGTTAATTAAGTGGCAGAGTTAGTGATGTGAGATGGGGCCTGATGGGTAGCTGCTCCGTAACCATGGGAACCGAGTTTGCTGCTCTCAATTCTGGTCTGAGAAGATGCATTTCTCTGCCCCATGCTTGGCACTCGCTGCTCCTTACCCGTGGCTTTAGCCAAGAGGTGATGGACTGTGGAGCCCTCGTTTCATTTGGCCCATGAAGGAGCTCCCTGTGCAGTAGGGATGTGGTGTCTGGGTGACTCAACCACCGCTCTGCCCGCTCTTGGCACAAGACTAGCACAGCTGTGCATTGGACCTGTCCCCTGGTCAGCTTGGCTGGCAGTCCCTCCGAGTGGCATCAGGCTCCCCCATCGCGTCCACACACCACGCTTTGGCTTCTTGCCGCAGGAACAAGATGAGGCTCGCTCCCATTTCTTGCTAAATCACTGCATCCTTTGGGCAGACAGCAGGCTATTCAGGTTCGTGACTGGCAAGGGGAAGGAGGGTGTGGGTTTGCTGCCAAAGAGTGCTGGTTTTGCTGGATTCTGCCCAGATAACACAGGCAGTACGCGCTGCCACAGCCAGCACCAGGTGTGCATCACGTTGCCCATGCGCAAGGAGCCAGCGCTTGCCCACCCCTCTGCAGGACCACTCACAGGCATCACCCCTAAAGCATGGCAAAGGCTTCTTGTTCATGTCACACACATTCTCTTCCCTGCAGAGGGGATGCTGAGGAGTGTCTGGCTGGGATAGCACTTGCATGGAAACCTCCAGGGATAGTGATGGTTACCAAAACCAATACCAGCACGCCTGGTTCAATCCCAGTAGTCACACTCCACCAGCATGCTAAGGGACTGATCAATGCACGCTAGACCTGCACATTCCTTTTTGCCTGAGAGCTGGGTCAGCTGGAGGATGAGGAGGGAAGCACATTTCCTTCAGCTTCACTGGTTCTCTGCCAACCTCACTTTGATACAGCCCCTCTCCCACTGTTTTCAGATGCAGATGTAGGCAGCTGCTCTGCTATATATGCGGTTCTGGGATCCTTTAGAGGGGAAGGCACAAAAGAAAGGCAGGCTATTCTTGTTCTGCATGTACTTCGTCAGGAGATTTGGCTTGGGAGGGTAGTGAAGAAGATGAGAGTTGAAGGGAATGGATTCTGCAGGAAAATGGGGCGGGTGCATTCAGCTTTCAATGAATTGTGCAAAACCTTGTAATTTGGGATAAACCAGATTCATCACAAGGCGGCATGAAAGCCACTGCCTGGGGTTGACTATTTCACAGCACTAGAATGGGAGTCAGAAAGTGATTAGAGGTGGCAAAGAGCGAGGGCAGGGGAAATGGGAGAGGTGCCAGGAGATACGAAGGCAAGTGGAGGAGGAATGCACAAAGAGGGTGTGCAGGTACGTGTGGATGTGTGCAGATGCACGCTGGCAGGGGAGCAGGTGAAGGGGACAGGCTGGGGCAAGTCTGCAGGGACAAGATACCTGCACAAGGGAGCAGGGATGGGCCCCGTGTCAGAGGCTGTAAGTGAATATGTGTGTTGCAAACTGTAGGAAACAGCATGAGGCTAACAGCACAGAAATACACAAACATAGTGTAGAATAGCACAAGGGCAATGGGGTTGCTTGCAGCATTTGTCTCTGAGCTCTTGTAGGGTGAAAGCTGTGATGTATGCGAGGATATCTAAGCAGAGTGAATGGGATGGAAAGGCAAGTGCGTGTTTCAGGTAACAGCTACAAAGGCCGTGCATGCCAGAGTGCTGGTACCCATGTGTGTCAGTGCACAGAGTAACACGTGCGTGTGTACAAGTGTGCTGTGTGCCTGTGTGTCACTTAGATCCTGTGGGTATGCGTGTGAGAGGGAGCATGAGCGAGAGAGGTGGAAGCACGCTTGCATGTAGGAGCAGAAGTATGATTGGTGTCCATGTCAGCGATACCCATTTGCACAGGTAGAAAGGAAAGTTCCATTGCTATAGACAGCAAAATAATTCCTTTCAGTTTACAGGGCAATTACCAGGGTGCCGATGCTGATGATTTACACAGAGCACTTGCATGTGGCAGTGCTAGGCCTTGTATACAAGTCACATTATTGATATTGTAATCATTTCTGCTCCAAACAAGCAGCACAGAGCAGGAGCAAGCCTAAGAGTGGCAGAAAGCAGGGGATATCCATGGGGAAAACACCCCCAGTAGGAAAGAAGCACTATTTAGGAGAGAAGTGAGGCAAAGCAGACAGGATACAAATGTAGGAGGTAAAGACTTAGTCTGCCTTTCTCTGGGACTAGAAGAGGTACTGAGATACAAAGGTCATGGGGAAAGTTCTACAGGGCATAGGTTTAGGTTTAAGAATGGAGTTGGCATCACTTGCTTTTTCAAACATCCATAGACACGAAGCAGAAAGGCCATAGGACACACAGCTTTCGCACCAGCAGCTCGGCACTGCTGTCTGGTCACCTCCCCAATGCTGGGACATAGGGAGGACCTCAAGCCTTGTGGTCCTCCAGCATGCAGCCTCGCTGAGCACCACAGGGGAACTGGATACTGGAAATGCCACTGCAGCAGTGCTCCCCTTTCCCCTCATCCCTGTGGAACCAAACCCTGTCACAGAAGAGCACAGCAGAGAGAATCGCTGACTGAGTAACCCCTTCCAGCAACAGGCACTGAAACAGCTCATTAGAGGGCTATAAACTTCCGAGAATGGCTCTGCCACAGCTGGTATGTGGCTGAGGATGCTTCCAAACAAAGAGAAGAGAACCTTTTTCAAATTAAACACCTTTTGCATAATTGCCAAGTGATGCAGCCATTTTGGAGAATGGAGGGAGAAACTGGGAAGTGATTTCATTTGGAAGAGACAACTCTTCTCAGAGAGGCTTAGCAGACACTTGGCTAAGGCTGGAAGAAGAAACCAGGCCCGAAAGGGAGCATTAAAGAAACTCCATAGGGCAAGTAGCCAGTGTATCCCCTCCCACCTTCAATACTGACACCAGGGCTCCTCCTGGTGACTAATTTTCCCCATTAAGCAGTGAAGTTTCCAGGGCATTCTGCCTTTCAGGGTTCTCCAACCATTATTATTTGTAAGGTATGAAAGATGTCTGATCATTCCTGCTCAAACTGGATAATATTCCATTCATGCACTTCTTGCTGATAAGCCCACTTAGTAAAGGGATACCCATAAATATTTTCATGGCAAAGAAGGATGCTTTTAGCATCTATTAGACATTATTACAATGACAATGTCATGCTGCACAGCAGTGTCATTTCCCTATGGTAATGCATCCACTGCAAACCCACTCATGTCTTTGACCACTGCCTCTAGGAATCTCCTTCTTGACACCCAAAGTTCATGATTTTCACTCATGTCCCCAATACTGATGCATTTGCATCCAGTGTGCTGCAACGAACCCCAGATTCCTGGGTCAAAACTGACAGCTCAGATATCAGATAAAGTTTAGATTCACTGAACCACCCCAGCTAAGGAAAACGTTGATCCTAGAAAGGCTCACGGGAGGACAAGAGCAGCGAGATGCTGCTTGGGGCAGATGCTACCGAGCTGGGCTGTGTCACTCAGCTCAGTGGTGGAGGGAGCAGTGCCATTGGGACCTTTTGATTTGGGATTTTACCTGACTGACTGTTCATCACCTCCCCACCTCCCTCTTTTTAACTGGGTTTTTTTTCTTCCTCCCCCCTCTCACCCTTTTCTCCTTTCTCCCTCCACCCTTCACACACCCCCTCCTGTCTCCTTCACTCACTCCCCACCTTCTGCATGGTTCCTGTGTTCTCACTCCCGTGCCTCCCCACTTCAACCCCGACTCCTCCCTCTTGTGTCCCCACCACGTTGCTGCTCTCTTCTCTCCAGAACCCTGGCAACAAGGACTGTGATGTCCACTATGCAGAGCTGGACACTTCCGCTCTGGCCTCGTCACCCAGTCCTCGGACCTCCATCCATGCTGGCGGAGACCTAGTCGAGTATGCAACTATCCAGCCCAACTTACGCTAGCGCATGTCACTCTAGGCCCTTTCCCCTCAGATTCTGGCCTCCAGGTACATGATCACACTCTGCCTTCCTCACTGCTCCCCTTTGAAGTCAGTGCCTCCCCCCCTGCATCTCTTTCCCTTCTGTGGAGTGGCTCATATGCATCGAATCCATCCTCATCCTCCTCCCTCCACCCTCCACCTCCTGCACGCTGCCCACAATGGCCAGTCCCTTTGGTACCCTTGTTCTGGGGGCACTGACAGCAATGCCTTTGCCTTGTCTTGCTTCCCGTGCATGCTCTGCAGTGTTTTCCTTTGCTTTATACGGTGAGACAAGGCACGTGGGAAGGGGAAAGGGTTAATGGCTTTGTTTCAGAGCAGGGGTCTGCTCCGTCTGTGGCTGGAGACACAGGGAGCAATGAGGTGGGTTTGAAGGGTACAGCTCTTGGGGTGGGATTTGGTCTCAGGGATTTCTATGAGGCTCAACAGTGTGAAGCGGAGCAGCAATACCAGGATGTGCAGAAGCCTAAAACCTTGTGGGGATGTTAAGAGGGCCTTCCAAGCTAGTCAAATACAAGAGGAGAGAAAGGAAAGGGGCCTTACTGAAAGGAAAAGCAAAGCAAGGAGCTTTGTGTGAATGGAAGCAACTATAGATAAGATGGAGCATATGTGCATGTGTGAAAGAACAAGGTGGGAGAGGATGTGAGAGGATATGAGAACACATAAAGGTTCCTGCATCTAAAAGAGTCAGTGAATAAGAGACAGACAGAGAGGAACCACGGATGTTAAAATAAAAGAGCTTGTATTGTGCGGGGTTGGTGCAGACAGCGCATTTCAATGTCTGAAAGAGGGAGAAAGATTGTTTTCTTTGGAGCTCTTCTCAAAATTGGATCCCAGACCTCACTGTTCCCTTCTCTTATGCTTTTCTGACCACTTTAAGTGTCATCAAGCTCAGGTCTTGCAGCAGGGGCTGATTAGGACTCAGCTTGCATTTAAACCTTCAAGTGATTGTTCTGGACTATCCCTAGCTACCAGTGACCCTTTGAAAGGGAACAGTGTTTGCAATGTCTTCAGCGCTTCTTATTGCCTTCCCCTATAATCATACCCTCTTCTTGGTTATTAAAGCCAGCAGGTCTCTTTCCTCTCCCACCCCCTGGGAGATATTTGCTGGGTGATACCAACAGCTGTTGGCCAAGGAAATTCCATTAGCAGCCCCCTCCTTGCCTATAACTCTCCCTTGCTCCTGGGTATTCCCAGAGTTTGGCAACTGCAGCTCCTTCTCTTTTATTTTACTCCCTTTTAAACTGGAGGAAGGGGCTGTAGATTTAATGGGGCTACAGCCACACAGGGGCACTCAGTGAAGAGACAGGGAGACAAGGAAGAAAGCAAAGGGAGAAATAAGGTGCTTTGCAGCTCATCAAATCCCTCCCATGTCACCCAGAGCAGATCATAGGAGGCACAGAGTAGCTTGGGGATGGAGGAAGGTGATTTGGTAAAGGGCAAGGGAATTGTATCCTTGAGGAGGAATAGTTCTATGCAGGAAAAAAAACAGTGTCCCACTGGACATACATTGATTAGTGCCTCCTTGCAGGCTAGGAACATCCATGCTAAGAGGTGGGTGAAGGTGGAGCACAAAGACCAGGGTAGGTGATGTGCAGTGGGTTAGCTCAGTCTGCCTTTATCCCTGTGGTCCCTGGTGTTCCTGTGTCGGAAGCAGCCCTGTAGTTCCCTTGCTGTAGCAAAAGCCTTCCTAGGTAAGTGTCTGCAGCAGGCCTGGCCCGGACCAGGACGGTAACCTCTCTCTCTTGCGGTGTCTCACCCACCCCTGCTCCCAGAATGAGGATCAAGGTCTTCGTAGACGTAACGAGCGAGAGCGGACAGTAAGTGCTGAATTGGTTTGGTTTTTCTTTCTCCATCTGGTTGTGGGATCTGTTTGTCACTGGAGACAGGTGCTGACAGCTCCCAGGCAGCAGCACCACCAGCCTCTTGCATACAGGGAGAGGATGGAAAAGCCAGCCCAGAGCAAGATGCACCTCCAATTCCCAGCAGTTTCTTGGCCTGCGCTGGAGGACCACTAGACAAGCGCTCCCTAATCCATCTTGGGAGGTCCTGCCTTGTCCTCCCTGGGGTGGGGGATTTTATTGTCAGCGAAAGGACAGTAATCCTCCAAATCCAAAGTGGGAAATCCTCCCACTTTCTCTGAAGTAAAAATAAAGCCAGTCATATGGTGCTTTGAAGGTGTAATCTCACAGCCACAAAACCTCCCTCCTCAGACACGCCGTAGAGCAGGGAGATGGTTTTATGCTTTTCCAATGATGTCTTAACCACCTAATGTAGCAGACCTGACTCAATTCCCAGTTAATACACTTCCCTCCTAGCAACACCCGGGTCAGGAGCCCCATTTTCAGTTTGCAGGAGAAATAAAGCAAAGAACTCAGGTGGCTGCTTGCTAGTTTCCCATTTGTACATGAGGATGACAGCCCTGCTCTGACTCCAAAAGGGTAGACAGAAGGACTCAGGAGAGAAACAGCAAGGAGGGATACGTTTAAGGTTATTGTTGGTCTAAGACCCTATAGGAATGCACAACAGGTACGTACTGTAGACAGCAAGAGAATGTTCAAAGCATGCTGTAAGAAGGAATGCAACTTTAAGAGCAAGTTTTCTCTGTAACACCTGCATGTGTCTGCGGGTGCATTGCTCATCGTAGGTCCTTGCCCTATATTGTGGGAATTTCAGCCTTCCTCACACTCACCTTTTCATTTTCTCTTCCCACTTGCTCTCTGTTTTGTCCTCACAAAAAGGAGGACACTCCTAAAAGCAAGCTCAGGGCTACTTGTTCCTGCTCATCCCCGATAGGTTGATGTTAATTCTTCACTCCAGACAATGATTATTCAAGGAGGATGTGAGGCTCCCAGCACCACACTTAACTGCTGCCCATTTTCGGTTCCCATTATATTTTCCATCTTCCAACACCTACATCCTTTCCACAGGCTGGTCCACACTATGACAACTGTCTTCAGTTGCTGTCACTCAACAGAACTGCTTCTTTCTGTCCATCCCAAAATTCAAAACCGACTCATGGAGAGGGTCGGGACAGTGGCAGCCCAAAGTCTGAATAGTTTTGCACTGCAGGGATTTTTCCCACTCAGGGAACAAGCTGATACATCGGATCAGTGCATCAATGTGCAATGTGTTTGCCTTGTTCGGCCAAGCAGAGGAAAAACAGCCTACTTCTGTTTGTGAGCCATGCTGCAAGACTAAAGACAAGTTTAAACTGCATGAGAGGTTATTAATTGGCTCTTGAGCTTTTGAGCAATAACAGAAACCCAGTTCCCTGTAGCGGTATCTTTCCAGCTCTCACATGTAACCAGAGTCTTCAGGTTTTCCTGAAACTATAGCAGAGGAATCCTCCAGACCCCAAGAAGGAGTTTTTCACTTTTGGAGCAGCAAGAACTCGTTATTTTGGGATGATTAAAGGTACAGGATATGGTCAGATCACAGGGAAAGCTGTCTGCAGCACACCTAGTTTTACCAAAGAGATAGAGAAGAAAAGGCATATAGGGGATGGAGAAGGGTTGAGAGTAAGTCATGGCAGAAATGAAAGCTAATTCAATCAAATAAAGACTGTTTAAAGCTAATCTACCAGGCTGTCTGAAATGGATAGATTACTGACATCCCCTTTAATCAAGCTCTTGAAAATAAAACTGAGAGGGGAGGGTGTAACCCAGATAATGAAGAATGGTATGGAATCATGCTGGAAACAAAGACAAGTGGGAGAAGTCAGGTGGGGGAAGGTGGCAGAATCATGTGCCAGTTCAATTTAATTAGTTCATTATCCCTAATTTAATTTCAAACTTTTGTTGAAGAAAAATTAGGTTTGGGAAAAGTCACAGTGGGAATGGGGAGGGAAGTCAAAGGGCACCAGCTGCTAAATATGTTAAAAAACATCAGGCTGGTGTCGCTCTCTTCACTTTTGCCAGTTAGAAATGAGATCAGGGAGCAAATGGAGCAATGTGGCTCCTGGCTTCACATGCTGCAGGAAGGTGAAAAGAGACAGGGAAGTCTCTTTCTTTGACCCTGATGCTGGTGTTCTCCAGCTGCCCTGTTCTGGCCGCACTCCAATCCATGCAGAATGAAGAAAGAACTTGCTCCTACACTCACCTGGCCAAAGTGAAGTACTGACAAAACGTTGCTTATTTGCTCTAGTCCTACTTCATAGATGCTTGTTTCATGCCCACATTAACTGACAGATAAACAGAAAGAAATATGCTTTACTAACACAGTATATTGTCAATAGGCAGCCCATGAAACAGTGTCTCATGACCCCTTCTGCTTCTTTCAATGTTAGATGCTAATACCCAGTGCTCCATCCCTGGCAGCATCCAAGACCAGGTTGGATGAGGCCTTGGGTGATATGGTTTAGTGTGAGGTGTCCCTGCCTATGGCAGGGGGTTTGGAACTAGGTGATCTTAAGGTCCTTTCCAACCCTAACTATTCTATGATTCTATAAGTTAACTTATGTTAACTCATCTTTCCTGTTAGACCTTTCTGTGTATTAGACATTTTGAGTGTCCATACTAGGATGAAGCTGTATGCTTTTCTGTTGCATGCTCAAAAAACATATAAAACCACCCTACCATTTAATTGATAAAAGATTGCTCGCCTTCCTAAAAGACCCTTCTTGCCTGCTACATCTAAGTTTCAATCATTAAGACAGCTTCCCTTTCAGGTTAGTTCTACCCAGGTAGTTGAGCAATCAGTTAATGACTTACCTCTATAATAATGCAGGAGAGCATGGCTAATAATTTTCCCCCCTTGCAGGCATGGAAAGCAGCTCTGTTGCATTTGAGACTCCTTAAGAGTAGATTAAGCATAGAAAAACCATTTACCCACTCTCTGCTAGCCAACACTCTCCCGAACCTGTTAACCTCTCTTTATCCCTTTTTAGCAGCTGGCTCAATCAGAAGAATAACAAAGAGCTGTTCTTTGTTCTCTGCTCCCCTTATGGTATGAATCCCTCTTAATGCTATAGAATTTGTATGAAGATAACTGTCTCCAGGCTTGAAGTATGTGTTGCCATGGCCTACCTAGTTTTCTAGCCACAGGGTTGTATGTGTACAGAGTAAATCTGACTCTGTAGAGGCCTGAACTTCCTCTCTTAAGTTTAGCTGCCACTTGGAAGGGTGCCTTAAAGCCGCAGGAAGAGGTTGTAGAGGTTAAGGTGGAGTTAGTGAAGCTTCCTCATGTCCCCTGGCTTGGGTTCCTCCAGTTTAACAGCTATAATGCTGCGCAGCACCTCTCCACGTGTTCACTTGGCATTTAAAAGCCAGAAGTGGATGAAACCCTCAGGAGGTAGCTGTGGGAATGGCCCACCTAAATTGCAGATACCCATGCAGCAATTCTAAATAGAAGGGGCCAAGAGCCTTTTGTCCTTCGTTATGTGGCCAGGTCAGGATCACTGACTTTTTAACAGCTGAAGCGATGGGATATAGAGTTTTGCCAAGGAAAGGGGAATGAACATCAGTTTGGCCTTGGCATTGCTGCAGTTTTCCTGGTGCTTAGACAAACCTCCCATCCTTTAGCAGCCTTCATTGCTCTTAGTGAGGCTGTTCCTGACGCTGCACTAGCTGTGCAGCCCTCCGACTCGCTTGTAGCCTCTTCGAGCAGCCTGGACCATCAATAAATTATTGTCGACACTTCATTTTTGATCAGATTTTTTAAGCACCCTGGTGAAATATTTATCCAGGAGCTGGCAGCAGACGAGCAGAGTAGATTGTTCTGTTCCTTCAGGCGTTTTCTCCTGAGGGTCACATCCTTGTCCTTTCCACTAAACTGACTGTTTCTGGTACTTTGAAAGGGAACAAGGAAGGACTCAAGGGCAAGTTACTTGCTTCAACCAGCCGCCGTCCAAACCACTGGCATAAAAGGCGATTGCTAATGCATTTGCTCTCTCTTAGAGAACAGATTAGCAACTGAATGTGGGTTGATTTTAAAGACCAAAAGCGCTGTCCTCGCTAGATGTCCCTCCTGCTTGGGTCATCCCGTAGGGCTCCAAACGGGAGTGAAGGGTCTGGGAGCAGGGAGGAATCCTTCCCATCTGCTGCCACCCTCTGGGGAGCCGGAGTCCTGGGCTCTGCGCTCCTCTGAGCTTACACAGGCGTGGAGCAGGGGGGTCTCTGTCTCCTGGTGCTGCTGTTTGCATGGACAAAAAGGGTCTCTGCAATACTTGCACCTCAACAAGCAGCCTTTCCATTACCTCAATGGAAACCAAAGCATTTCGGACTCCGAGAGGGGTTCATTTCATTTGGCTTCATTTAAGAATGCATCCATAAGAATGCACTCCATCAGAGGGAAGATCGTGGGACCACAGAGCAGTCTTAGTCTTGAGAGCGCTTTGCATTGATTTGACTTACAAAACTGGCCCCAAGGCTTTTAGTGGGATTGCTCACACGGGTAAAGCTTAGCACATGCACTCCTGTCTACCAGGTAAACATTACACACATATTTTGCCTCCGAAGTCCCTGGTCAGATGCATGTGCCCTTTAAGTAAAAGAACATGAGCCTGAATCAGATTAATGATGCATACAAGCACTGCTTTTCCAAAGCTCAACTGTGAAAGAGTTAGGAAGCTTGAAAAGAAACTGTCCTTGCTTGGCCAAGTGCTTATTTTGTCCAGAGGTGTTTGTACATTTACAGACAAGGGGCAAACCGTGCAAAATCTATCCATGTTCATCAGCAGGATGGATATTTCAGGAAGGGAGACGATGAGTTTGGAATGTGAGGATTTATCACCTGGGTTTCTGTTTTTCTGAAGCAGGAAGCAGAACTGTTTAACTTTCCATCCTTCTTGTTCTACGTGTCTCAGCGAGGAACTGAAGGAGTTGTGTGCATTGTGACCACTGATGCCAGAGTTCTCACCCATTGACTTTTGTCTCTGCTTCCAGAACTTTGGAAAGTGTCACTCAGAGGTATCGAATGCGAGTGATTACCTGACCCGCTGCTACTCACATGAAGATCGATATCTGGAGAAGATCCCTCACGTTTACACCCCTATGTCAGATCTTCCACAAGATCTTTATCCTCATCATGCGGACATCTCCTTCTGCTGCCCACCTCCTGGCTCCCGGGCTCCTTACATCTGTCCTAAGGAACAGTATGTTTAAACCATCAACACTGCAAAATGAAGAAGCTGATGTTTCTCACTTCTCCTGGGCCAGTTGCTCAACAACCAAGGCCTTTTAGATCCCTCCTTTGCCATCGCTTGTTTCATTTATGGCATTTGAAATTGGGGTGCGATTGTAACTGACATGGTTAGGTTAAGTATCTGCCTGGCTTGCTTATGCTCAAGGGAACACTCTGCCATCGCCCACATCACATTCAGTACTTGCATCTTCCTTTTCTCACCCTGGCCCTCCTGCATCAAGCTAGCTCTGTGCGTGCATGTGTGTGTGTGGGTGACAGCTGCCCTGTGTTGGATGGGATGTGCCCAACCTGATTCAATGCCCATAGGTTCCCTTGTGCCAGTCTCTGCACTGTTTGCACCAGAGTAGCTGGGTGTGGATTCTTCACAGCCCTTGTTTCAGCTTGGGTGAAGTTTTACAGCACAGCCAGTGCTAAATCTGAGGCTGTAGCAGGGCTTTTCCCCCTCCTTTGCAGAAATTTTTTCCTCCTTGGCAATGGGGACAGGAAATCCCTGTTGTGAAGAGCTAAACAGCCAAGATTGCTGAACCAAATAGTAAGATGCTTATAATGAAAGATGCTCAAAACCAACCTAAGAATAGAGACAAGGTCTTGGTTTAGGGGTTTTGTTTCTCTCCCTTTTCCCTCCTGCTCCCACTCCCAATATCTTGGATTGGCTCTTTTAAATCCAGATGGCATGGGGATATATTTTGAAGCCAACACATTTGGAGAAAGCATCCTTTAAATAGCCATCTTATAACCCAAAACCCAAAGGGAAAAAAATATAGGAAGGAAAGCATTCTCTCTAATTTTCCTTTTCAAAGCCTAATGTGACCCCCCACTAGCATTTCCCCCTCTCTTCCTTGCATCTGTTGATTGGAATTTCAGAACGAACTCAGGCAGAATATAAAGAATAAATCACAATTTCAGGTAATCCTCTTGCTCTTAATGAAGGATCAAAGCCAAGAGCAGAATCTGGCCTTTTAACTTTTTTCTAAAGCATCTTGGTTCTTGGGACTACAAATCTTTTGATACTGGAATGCGTGTGAGTGTGTAAACGCGAACGTGTATATTCCTGTGACCACAAAGTGTTTTAAAGAATGGAACTCATCTCCACATCACATTTGTGTTCACTTGTATTAGAGTAAAAATAAATATAGATGCACACTTAAATGTGTATAAAAGCAAAGAAGAGGAGAAAAAGGCATTAACATCCTGTCTGAGAGCTTGGCTTCAGGGATAACTTTCATCTGTTTCACCCAGGTATGGCATAGAAGAGATGACGGCTGGGACAGTTCTGAACAAGGGATATGCCTTCTTGGCGAATGGGCATTTACTTCCCTTTGTCTCAGGTTGGGTATTTGGCAGTCTGCAGACATTGCACACTTAATATCACTCTGGAAACCATGAAGATGTTTGAGCAAAATGCATGTGGGAGGGAGAGCTGGGAACCACACCATTATCCTGTTGCCCATACACCGATAAGAGTGTCAGTGCTACCTGCACAAATAAGAAGGGAGCTACCAAGAAGATGAAACCTTCCCCATAAGAGGAGGTATCACTACTGCATTGGATGCTTCCAGCCCAGCTCCTGCTCTGCCACATGGACTGAGGCACCATGTTATTTTTGTATCTCTAAATCTAAACAGCTATAGTTGTTCTATGCACTTTCTGTGTTCCCATCATCTAAAGCAGCCTCAAGACTCACCCTGCTTGACCCTCTTCCTCCACGGAGAAGCACATCTGTGTTCACACTACCTCAGGGATTCCCTGCAGGCTAATAAATAGATCTGTATATAAGAGAGATGTTCATACTTCAGTTAGGCAATACAGCACTGCATGAGGATGACGCCACGTGCATGGGTCCCTGCATGGCATAGAGCACACCCTCGGAGAACCAACCCTCCCTCTTCCCCTGCTTCCCTGGTGCACGTTGCCACTTTGTGCTTTGTGGAGACAGCATGGAAGCTGGTCGCGGGGACAAGGTTGTTGCCTCTGAGGTGGGAAATGGCAGGTAGTTTCCTGCTGGGACGTGGTTCTACGCTGGGTTGAGAGGCTGTTGTATCAGGTGGGTGACCTGGCTCTGCCTACCTGGGTGAGGCGTGGATGAAAGGGCACTGATGTGTTTCTTGGCCAAGATGAAATGGCCAGTACCTCTGACAGGCAGAGCGGCTTTCATACGTGCTAGTGCATGGAGCACTCTCATTCCCAGAGGATCAGGGCACTGTACAGACATAGCCTTCGAGCATTAAACACAACTTTTCCAATACCATCCTTTTGGTCTTGACTGATGAAACCCTTTTCAGAGTAATTTGGATTCACATTTCCTCTGCCAGTCTCTAGGGAATTCAGCCAGTCATTTCCTTACAGCAATGGACTCGAGTGCTACGTGTCTTGATTCAGATAATGTATTTCTCTCTCTTGTTTTCCTCTCACCGTACCTTAAGGTACTTTCTGTTTACCACAGAGCTGGAAATTGGGTGTGCTCTGAACTGAACTGGAGCCACAACCAACACACTCACCTTGGCAGGGGAAACATGGAGTGTGACAAACATGTCTTGGGTCACTCCGTTTGGAGAGGTGATGAGGTGCTGGAAAATCCAGGGGTCTCTGAAATCCTAGAATCAACCCAGTGCCACTGACCATGGAGAAAAAGCAAGGAAAAGTCCATGAGACACTTCCCTACTGGCTTGCCTGTGATAGCAGGATGCTGCCTGCACAGAGGCAATTAAAGTAGATTTGACTGGGAGCCTTCACCTGGTGCACTTTCAGACTGATCTAAGAATATAAATGAGAAGTGAAATACAGTCAGATCTTCAAATACATAAGGGACCATTTTCCAGAGGAGGCAGGGAACACGATGCAGGTGGTTTTCTGTGCTGCCTGTGGCTGGAGACATGATGCTTTGATAAGGAAGGGGAAGGCAGAGATATGGACTGCAGCGTTACAGAGAAACCAGTTGCCTTGTGCAGCTTTGAATCGCAGCCACAAAGGGGTTTACTGTGCTTTCCAGCAAAGGAAAAGGATTTCAACCCATAAAAGCATAAATTCAAGCAGTAGTTTGACTTGTGTCAGCACCTATATTAGGCTTAGGAATGTCTTGGTTCTCTTTGTCTCTCTTCTCCTTAAGACCGCATTGGTCTCCAAAAAAATGGCAAAAAAGAGCCTCCACACACCACCAAATTCCTTTGTACCCTAGGAAAAGGAGGGGGAACCCCTGCAGAAAGCCCCTGCTGAAGGATACAGTGTGGTTCAAGTCCATTGTTTCAGTTTTATAAAGCTGCATTTAGAAATGGTTCAGAGTCAGGGCTCTTATTCCTCCCTCCATTTCCTTACAGTGTCTGCCTAATGGCTGTTCCCAGACTTCGCTGCACTTGTTGCCATGGGTTTAACACTACCTACCCATGTCTGTGGTGACCCTGCAGGCACAGAAATCCTAATTAGCAATGCTAATGAGAGGTGTTCTCCTCCTGCCATGGTGCAAGTTAAGATCCCTTCTCCGGGAACAGAGCCATCCAGTAGCGTTGTTGGGTGTAGACTGCCAAACAAGTCGAACAGGAAACTGGTCCAGTGTGATCATGCACCCAGTGGGCTCGCAGTACATGGGAGAAATTGGTGTTCTATTCCCATGTCTGACTGGTGTGAGACGTGAAGCCGTTCTGCCTGTTACTGGGGTGAAATGTCATCATTTCTGCTTCGTGTGTTGGCGGCACTGACACCCGAGCTCTTGCAGATGGAAAAGACTGATCACAGAACTCAAATAAAGATGAACTGAAGAGTTACAGCTTCTCTCGTAGCTGTGAAACTTGTGTGAGGCGCTTGATCTCTTCCTCTCGCCCGGTGCTGGCTTCCTCCTGAGCTGTTCACTACATCCATCATCCCTCGCACATTCGCAACCCCAAAACGTACACATGTGCACACACCCTCCTCCCTGGCTGAGTTCAGCAAAGGCTGTCCTCAGGACTAGATTAAGCCACCTTTCATGTTGCATCCTTCACTGTCTGAAGCACTAGCAAGGACATGGGACTTCAAGGTAAGCAGAGGAGCAGCGTTCAGGTGACCTGCAAGGCAATGATGCCTGGTGCTCATCACTACTAGAGCTCTGCCCTCGGAGCAATGCAAACATAATTATGCTGCCCAAGTGCTCTAGGAGAGATGCCCCTTTCACTTAGTTCATTTTACTTCCTACTCTTGTGGGAAGCCTCCTCCCTGTAGTGCAAGTGGGTGGAATAGCTTCAGCCACAACCAGTTCTCTGGGCCAGCAGCTATTTAGGGAAGGTGCAGGTAAAGGCATGCCTGGGGCCCCCTCCTCTTTAGCCCACTTCTCTTGTAAGTGCCCTGATTTCCTTCTGCAGGCAAGCACTCCCTATGCATTCCATATGGTTCCATATGCAGGTAGGCATTGAACACTCTTTTATGACAACACGTGCATTGCAGCTGCCTTTGCTGCAAGGGAGTGATCAAGAGCCTCTGTTGAACCCTGGTGTGCTGCATGGGAGCTCTCAGAGAGGGATGAGGAGCCCTCCTCTACCCCATCCATAGCACACGGAGAACAAGACTACTCCATCTCTGTCCCTGCTTCATTACATGCTCCACTAGCACCCGTGAATCACAGTGCAGTGAGCAGCAAGTGCTGGTGTCCTGGATGCTTCCTTCCCAGCAGCACATGGCAATCATCTGGTGGGAAGTGCTCCCTGGTTAATCTGGGATTAGCAATAGCTGGATTCGCATGAGAAACAGGCAACAGAATAAATCCCCGTCTTTAAAGGGGGTCCTCTGGTTAAAAACAAGCTGTCTTGCAGGAGGGCAGGGGACAAGAAGAGGAAAGCATTCCTGGGGAGGGGGGGATTTCCACCACAGCCCCATGACTGCACAGCCCCAGCAGCCCCAGGGTAAAAACTCCTCTGCACAAGGATAGAGCCTCTGCATCTGGATAAAGATCTTTTGGAACGATTTAGCCCCTCTGCACAAAGACGAGTTTATCCTGTATTTCTGGATCCTGGCATCTCCCCCCAGGGCTGTATCTACTTTCTAAACAGGGGAAAGGAATATGGATTTATCTCATGTGTGGCAGTCATAACACATTTGGATGGAGACTCCCACCAATGCCCAGCTAGGGCTTTGCTCATCTAAGTCAAAAAGGCACACAAACACCCAGGCCAGTATCACAGACACTGCACAGACAAGGTGCAAAAGATGCCCATTCAGACAGAGATGCTGTGAAGCACATCCATTCATGCTTGTTTTCTATTTCCCCACTGATATCAGATATGCAAGCAGGGTTAGCACTTAAGATGAGATTTGAGGTCTCTTTCTCCAGTGCTGAATGTACTATGATCAATGCTTCACTCAGAACACAGTACCTCCTGCAGCTTCACTTTGTGTGTACATAGAAGTCTGCATATGAATCTGTGTGTATAAAACTAAAAGGTTGGTATTACTACCTCTTAGAGTGCACTGCGTATATAGAACGCATTAAAACACTTGTGTAGGTTAAGAGCTGCTGTTTTACACTTGGAGCTGGTCACCTTTCTGAAGAGCTTTTCATATAGAAGCAATAAATAGGCGCTGTGGAGGGCAGACGATACACCACCAGTGTGGAGTGCAGTGGGGGAGCTGCAAATTAGAGGAGAGCCCAGGAAGGAGCTGCATTAAAGATTCCACATCTCTGCTGCAAACAGGGATGCCTGATCTCTTTTTCTGCTCTATTCTGTCATGCTCTATTTTCTTTCTCTTTCTGGTGGATGGGAGGTGAGGTTTTAAAGCCTGCCAAGAATGCATCCAGCCTGCTCCTCTGGGTGAACAGCACCGTAGAATGAAATGAACTTTCTCCAAGCTTCCTCCCACCCCCAGATCCACCCCTCCCCCTTGTAATCCAGGCTCAAGTACCATCATTTTCATATCAGGACTAATTACATTAATTGTTCTCCTCAGTACAAAACTCATTAAGCTGGAATTTATGGTTCATTAACTCGGAGCCAGAGATCTGCCTCGGTGCAGTAGTGTGGGGCCAGGATTATTTCTGCCCTGGCTGGGGCCGGGTTCTAATCCGTGTCCCTTGGCCACATTCAGCATCCCCTGCTGAAGTGTGAACAAAGCTGTGTGAGCTCGCACAGGAGCACTGCACCGGGCAGGAAGGTGTTTCTGAACCACATGAGGATGGAAAG